ACATAGGATTAAATGAGGAGACCCATGCAGAGAACCATTTTTTTTGTTTCTGTATATTCCTTTTATTTCCTTTTTTTTTTTTAAATCATTTTTTCTCTTTGTGTTTTTGTTCTCTTTTATTTATAGAAATGTCCAGCTTGTCTGTCGTGGTTCTAAGGAAAACACCTAGTGTTTTTTCTTAGGGCTGTGCAGTCAAACACGCGGTCGTGTTAGTGGTGCTGGCTCACGCAATTGCTGATGATTTACTGTTGTGCATTGCATTTTGTAAAAGCTGGTTCTACTGTACTGCATCTAATGCTTCCACAGGAAGAAAACTCCGAAAGCAGAAGATTCTCTTGTTCGTTGCTCTTTTCTCGGCGCCATCTCAAAATAAGACCAACATGATGATTATGATGAGAGTGCGTTTGTGTGATTATACAGCAAATGCCCAAATTACCATGCTTCAATTAATCTTGTGTGGCATTGTCTCTGTTTTCATAGTAAAATGCAAATAAATTACCCTGCTCAGTGGGGCATTTAATAATAATATCTCCATTTGCTTAATGATGACGCAGTGGTTCAGTGGTCAGCGCTGTCGCCTCACAGCCAGAAGCTTCTGGGTTTTTGCAAAATCCTGGTGTCTTTCTGTGGGACGTGCCTGTTGTGTTTTCCCCTGAGTGGCTCGTTTTTTTCTGCCACCATAAAACAAACGCACGCATGTCAGGTTTTCTTTTCTTTTTTTTTTTAAATTGGAAGTAAATGCTTATGAAGAGCTCAAAGTTTGTAGAGTGAAAAACGTGACTACCATGTAAAGTTTTTTGAGGGTTTAGACTATAAAAATAATACATAGGTGGAAGTCCATTCTCTGACAACATCACATGCTGTTTTTATCTGCTGCACAGATATAAACAGCTTAACAGTTCAACAGACCTCGAGTTCATTTTCTCTTTAAAAAAAGAAGTCAAATTTAGGTCCTCGTGAAGTTTTAATAGTCTACAAATGGTTAATAAAACAAGATTAGTGGACTTGCATGCCCGCACACCCTTTCCATAGAGTGAAGTTCCACAGAATATTATTTACCTGAGGGCAGGACTTCCTTAGAAATGACACGGCCTCGTGATCAGGGAAGCTTTAAAAAGCGTTCAACCAGTCAAACAGGCACAATACACCTCTTCTACACTCAGAGACGCAACGCTCAGCAGCAAACAAGCAAGTAAGTATTTCAAATGATTCTTAGATGATTTTGTTACTGAGCATCTGTTAAAGAAAAGCTGAATTTCTTCACATTTCAGTTTTACATTTGTGAATATTTTATATTGTGTCTGTTTTTCCCCTCCACTCACCTATTTTGTGTTGTTGGTTTTTTTTCTGTATCGCAGGCCTCTGGTTAATGAAAAGTACCCTTCCACTCATTGCTTATTCTGCATATCTGATACGAGCATGGTCACCGCCGAGGAGCTCGAGTGCTGCGTGTGCTGCTACGAATATTCACGCAGCAACAGGATACCGCGGGTCCTCCACTGCAACCACACCTTCTGCGCCCCTTGTCTGGAGAGATTGTCCAAGCTGGAAGGTGCCATCTACACCGTCTCCTGCCCTCTCTGTCGTTGGATTACCTGCACCAGAGCCAGCCTGACTTTACCAGGGGCTCTGTGGGTCAACACAGAAATCTGGGACCAGATTTCCACAGAGCAAAATCAGAATGAGAACCATTCAATGGAGGATTTGAAAGACCCAAAGTCGCTACTCATCGAGCACTCACTGTAAGTATAAGCTTCAGAACTGCGGTCCAGTTCCTCTGATTTTTTTTTTTTTCGAGAGAAGTTGTAGTCTGTATCTTACCTAGAGATCTCAATAAATAAAATTTCTCCTCTTTCCTTTTAGACCCGTTTCACAGCAATCTCGTTTGAAGTCCACACTCCTGAGGGTTTTCAGCTGCATGCCTCTGCAGAGCAGACACTAAGTGATTAACAGCAGGATTTGTACCTCTTACATGTTGTTTAATCGTAGACTGAAATGTGCAAGACCGTAAAGTTTGCATGATCTGAGCTCCACGTAATGGACCTGCACACAGGGCTTCAGTGAGAGTTTGCGTCTTGTGAAGAGTGAAGGCCTGAAAGTCTTCCGTGCGACTTGACTTTGTGTGAACTTGACTTATTTGGAAGGCACTGAA